TGTCTATGCATGCATGTATGCATGTATGCATGTATGCATGTATGCATGTATGCATGTATGCATGTATGCATGTATGCATGTATGTATGTATGTATGTATGTATGTATGTACGTATATACGTGTGCATAGTCATCTACATATATATATACAGTGCACTCGACACCGTTTACTCACACAAAAATCCGTTTCTCATTATCTAGCAGCGGCATCTGCAGCAGGGCTGGAGTGTTTTTGGGTTTGTCCTCGTGCTGGTGAAATCCTATGGCCCTAAATGCCCAACACTCACAACTTACCAGCACTGTAACCTGAAATCCTGCGCACCCTCGAATTAAGTCTTATGAAGCCCTGATCCGGACATCAAAGACACTTCACTACACCCTGAATCTTACACCGTGAACCCCTGGCCATACGCAGGTTTGCGAATAGGCACCACGGGAACTTCAACTAAGGTTTTCAGCCTATAAAGCCCCGAGCCACTGATAACTCAAAACGAGGCTTCCTAGCAAAAACCCAAAACTTTAGCCCTTTAACACGAGACCATAAATTCTAAGCCCTATTAAAGCCTGAAACCTTACACCCCAGTTCTGGCGCCTACAAGCCCTAAGCCCCCAAACCCAATGCACCTAAACCCTAAACCCTAAACCCTAAACCCAAACCCTATGCACGGATGGAGGTCTTGCTTCCTCTCCGGGCGATCCAAGCCCATGGGGGTGACGACCTGTGGCGGCCTCGGGTCAGGACGGGTTGTTTGTGCATCCCCTTTTCAGGTGTACCTGGACCCTAAAGAACCTACCTTTTTAGGGTTCCTTACTGTGAATTCTTCGCATGAGTCCTTAAGAGGTAGGTTATTTGGGGTTGAGGTAGTGCCTTCCACCCAACGTCCCACCCATCATTGGCTTTCACACTGCAGGGCTTGCCACCCAGCATCTCGGGTGGAAAACCCTAAACCCTAAACCCTAAGCCCTAAAAAGCAGACCTTGGTTGGCAAGCCGTAACTCCTGAAACGAGATGTTGGGTGGCAAATAACCCTCGAAAGAGAGGGTGGGCTGGGTGGCAAGCTTTAAGCCGCAAGGCCAGTGCATCCTTGCCCAGAGCATCCATGCAAGAGGCCGAGATGTTGGGCGGAAAACCCTTAGCCCGAAAAGGATACCTACGGGTGGCATGGCTCACCCGATCTTCGGTAAAGTTTTGCTTGGTGGCAACGGTTTACCACCAAGCAAAACCTCTAGGGTGAGGATGCACTGGCCATTTGAGAATTTCAGGGCTTGCCACCCAACATCTCCTTATCAGCTTGAGGGCCTGCCACGTAACGGCCCACACATCATTGCCTTTCCAACTGCAGGGCTTTAACCTTTTATTTCCCTGGCTCATTGGGGAAGTAGGACATTACATTCTCAGTTTTAAACACTAAGCCCCATAAGCCTAAGCATCTCGAAGATCCTTCAGCCCGAATAGCCCTCATAACCTTGAGCCCTACTAACCCTAAACACCAAATAAGTCTAACAAACCTAATGTACCAACCCTAAACCTTGAGATCTCTACCCGGATATCCCTAAATTCCAATAGCGCCGATAACGCTAGGCCCTAATAATTCTGATAATCCCAACAAGCTTCATAAGTCTACTTGCCCAAAATCCTAATATTATCCCAAACCCTGCCAGCCCTAATAATCCTGATAACATGACCCTAATATCCCCAATGTGAAACTTCAATAGCTCGAATAACCCTAAGCCCTAACAACCTCCATAGGCCTAAGAAGACCCTAAGTCTTGATATTCCCAGAAACCCCAATACGTCCACTACGCCTAAGAACCTCAAGCCCTAATAGCTTGAATAACCCTGATAACCCCATTAATCCTACTCCTAGTAGCCCCAGTCAACCTAATAAGCCTAAGAACCCTAAACCCCGAACACCCCTAATAACCCTGAGTCCTAATAAGTCTCTCAACCTTCAACCCTTAATATCCCTTTACCCTAAACCCTCCATGTCCCTTTACCCTATTAGCCTTGATAGCACCAGGCCCTAACAGCCTCACTATGCCTAATAGACCCTAATAGCCAACCCCACAACAAAACCTAACCCTGAACCCTAATACTCCTAATAACCCCATGCCCTAATAACCCTAATACCCTCAATGAGCCTGATTAGCCTAGCAACCCTAAACTCTAATATCCCTAAGCTCTAATACTAGCCTTAATATGTTGCTGTTGTTGTTTAGGGTTCCGTTTTGGGTTCCGTTTCAGGTTCCGCTTAGGGTTCCGTTTCAGGTTCCTTTCCCCCCCAGAAAAGCTATTGAGCTTAAGGACCCTAAACCTTAATAATCCGAATAACCCCAAGGTCGAACAACCCTGATAACCCCAATGACCCTAATAAGCCTAGCAACCCTAAACCCCCACATCCCTAAGCTCTCTTGTTGTTGTGTTGCTGTTGTTGTTTAGGGTTCCGTTTAGGGTTCCGCTTAGGGTTCCGTTTAGGTTGCCGTTTAGGGTTCCGTTGTGGGTTCCGTTTACTTTTCCGTTTAAAGTTCCGCTTAGGGTTCCTCTTGAGGTAACAACAACCACAACAACAGCAGCAACACCAGCAGCAGCAGCAGCAACAACTACAACAACAAAACGCCGAAACGACTGCCATCGAGGGTCTCAGGACAGCCATGTTCGCTGTAGGGTTTTGTTTTCTGGGCTTCCCCGCTGCTCCTCTTTGGCATGGTGATGTGCTTTTTGTTTGGGTGTGCTTTGTGGCTTAGAGCTTCCTCAGAGCTTTGAAGATATGCGGATTTGGTGCTGGGCTCCGATTCATTGTGTCCTGGGTTTGGTGGCTTGCACGTCGAGTTTGCACTGCAGTTTCTCTTCGGGGGGAGCTCGTGAACGTGCCCTCCACGGCTGGCTCTGCCAGCTTTTCTTCGGCTGCTGCATCCAGCGGCCAGGACACTGAGGCCGACGTGACATGCGATCCTGAATGCCATCAGGACCCAAATCACCTTGGAAGCCCTCTCCGGAAGAACGGCGCAGATCAAGGCAACCAAGTGAGCGGCAGCCTCGGAAAAAGAACGAGCATTGCACAATCGTGCATAGGTCCTGTACAACGCGACAATCAACGATGTCGCCGTTAAAACCCCGAAGCTGCTCGGCGGGAGCCTTGGCCAGCCCGCGTCAATTTTCCGAGAAGGCGACCATCTGAGCGGGTCTAGACAAGGCGAACAGGGTTGT